GAAATGAAAAGAATTTTCCCTGCAATGATTAACGATTTTATTTCTATTTAATTGGTTAGATGGAAGCAAGCAAGCATATTTTATGTCTGAATATCTGGTTTTGTCAATGATCTTATATTAAAATAAGTGAAATGGAGAAATTTGATGGTTTAGTTTCTCTCACTGAAACAAACAATAGAAAATCTATGTAACACGATTAATCGGTAGCGTTACTTTTAGCTGGTGTGTCAGTTTCTTTAATTTTAACTTGAAAACATGAAATTCAGAGTGGGGATCTCTTTCCAACGAATTTATATTGATTCCAACAATACAGATGTTGGCTCACTGACTAACCACCTGAAATGAGGACCGTTATGTTATACTTTAATGTTTAGTTCAGTTTCAAAAAAGATAGAATCTTGAAAAGATCTCTGCCGAGTCCAATCTTAGGAGATTTCTTCACGACCTACCTAATTCAGTCATTAGTCGATCTAAGATGTATGGAGGACAATTTCGTCATTTACGATGAGAACGTCGATTTATTTGACAGTTTGTACTCTTTCGATACCTGTCATTTATGCCCAGATTTCACATTAGAAAATGAAATATGTCTTGAAATCTGATTTTTCGAGGTGCTTCTGACAAGAGTAATTGATGGATTTCTTAAAAGATTTTTTTACACAAAACAAACATGGGACAGCTAACTAATCAATTTCTTTAGATGGTTTCTGTTAAGCAGAAAAAGGAATCATATACAAACTGCGTTATCAAGTATGCAGGATCTGTTGCACAGAATGCATTGAGGAGGAACTTGATTTCTTTAGAAAATCGTTGACAGCAAACAGCTATCCAAGCCGCTTCGTAGAGAAGAACATGAAAGAAAGTTGGAACAGATAATCCAGAAATTCATTTTCAAATAAAAATATTTATACAGATTTCGAAGTTAAAGGTGATCAAACTTCTGATGTACATTCAAATCGATTATTGATAGCACTCAAAAGAAGGTTCTATATGTCAGTGATATGATTAACATAAACTAGTATAAATTTTGTTTGTACACATAACGAACAAGTTCCTTCGTTTGATTGCCTCTATGTGAATCTTACAATCCGTTTGGTCTTGTAAAATAAAGTACATAGGCCGTAGCCAGTGTTTTCTTTCAGCTCGGTTACAAGAAAATATTCTAATGTTGTTCTACAAAAGTGAGAGAAAGGCATTCAAGTCTATCTTTAAGCATTTAATCGATTCCAATTAGTTCGCTGATCCATATGTTGATATTAAGGTTATTTATGGAATTCCTTCATATCCACGAAGATTTTTTCGTATTCAACAAATTTAAACAACAAAAGCTCTTATCATTCATGAAATGTAGCCTAACCTGTATGCACAGAAGAAGCACGTCTCACTAATGTCTTCATAGCAACCTCAAAATACATTATTATAACCATTTCTACTAGTATTATTGTTTGAATGTCATTTCATTTCATTAATTTTGTATTTGGAAGTGTACCTCTCTCAACTTATTTCCCATATGTCGATGATTCTTTTCACACAGATATTCATGAAATTATTTCATCTAATTTAATTCCTTTGTTACCGTTGATCATTTTAACAAAAAGTTTTAATTATCATTACTCATGTAATAACCCATTATTAATCTAATATATTGACAAGCTCTTTTTATTTGCGAACATACTATCAATTTATCATTATCATTTATAATATATAATCTAACATTATAGTCTTACTATTACTATGTCTTTATTTTCATTCATTGTTCATCGATCCTTCTAGTGTCAATACTTGAAAGTTTAGATGTTTATACGATAGCATCACTAGATAGTAACATCGTTGGTGAATGATCTTATTACTGAATTTCATGTTTTCTTTTTCCAATGTTTAAGTGAGAACTATAAGTTCAAGTTAGTTAGTTTTTTTTCATGATGAGTTTCATGAAGAATCAGCCAATTCATATTTTGTAACACTAAATACATACCTACGGATACAATTCAACTAACTATACTCTTTTTACTAATTGTTATGATACCATAATAATTGTACCATTTAAAATATCTCATCTATTCATGATAATGAGAAGTTTATCTTCAATTTTTCTCACTTAGCTAAGTGTAATTCTCTCATGAACAACGATGTAAGTGTTTACTGGGGGCCTTTAGTTTGTCGTCATTTAGATCGGACGATATTTGTTGACGGGCTCTCTACTTTAGTGGCCCGAGATCTGACTCCGATTTGATCGTATAAATGACCGTTATCGAAATATATATGTCGCCTATCCTAGTATATAATCATAGACTTAAATCGCATTAGTCAATAACGGGATTAAATAATTCAAATAACGATAATGGATTTTCGAATTCGTATATTTTGTATATGAAGCGAATGGAATAGAGTGAAGTGAAACGACGCGCAGTGAAGATGGCGGGTAAGCCAACTCCTTTTAATCAAGCGTTGATCAATACTTATAGTCACACAAAAATGAGTTACAGACATGTGATGAGTAATAGGATAATAAATGTATACACAGACATGTGATCATATGAAAACAGTCAAGATTGATAAGCGGATAATTAACAAGGTCAAAATATGACTCAAGTAGAATGAATAGATTGGCCTGTCTCCAAAAGCCAAAATAAGGTATATGGGCTTAAGATGTCAACTGACACTACAACACTAGCAATTATTCCATTTAGCCCAGAGAATTCAGCAACACAAGAAATATTCATTTAAATTGAAAATCTTCTCCATCAGTCCATAAATTCAGTAGCTAGAAAATAGAAGTGATAAATAAACTTTGATCATAATATCACTTATCATGAATAGAATACTTAGATTAATTAAATTTAGGAACTCATCAATCATAATTAGTGAAAACTATATTATGAAATGACATTTGTTTTTACAAATTTTACAAAGAATAACTTAAACTGACTCATTTACAATTGACTGATCAGTGGTTGATGACCAATATCATGTATATCAGGTCTTTCTCGATGGGAATCGGGTTCCATCGATCAAGTAGCAATATGGCTATTAATCTAGATGAGTCAACATCGCGTGCCTTATATTAAGATTTAAAGTGGTGGTTGGAAACTTTGTTTGACCTAAGTTTTATTCTTACAGAAAATCAACATTGAGAATATTTTCTACTTTGGTTTTTACGACTATTATAAAATTTATTTATCAAATATTCTCAAATTCTTACAGGTAAAGCAATTTCAAAATAACGTTTTTTCAGGTTACAATATTATTTCTACTTATGTACTGACATTTTCACCCTTATATCGTTACTTTCATCCATACAATGGGTTCCTCAGTTCACTTACATACAAATATACATAAATGACAATTCTATTGTTATCAGAATGGGTTTTGTGGAGATTTTTTTTAGAAATTTCATAGGTTGAAATCATGAGTCAATTAAAGCTAGGCCACCATGGAAAACCTGGAAGCACTGGACGGCCGTTTCGTCCTAGTACGGGACTCCTCAGCAGCGCGCATCCACGATCCCGCACCACGCGGGATTCGAACCCAGAACCTACTGGTTCCGCGCGCGTGAACTTGAACATTAGACCACTGGGCCGGCATCCAACGGTGTTAATGTCTAACTTCAACCAATCCACGAAGTTGCGCCACCGTACACCATTGTCTTCAGTGAGCTGATATCTCCAGGTTTTCCATGGTAGTCTAGCTTCAATTGACTCATTATTTCAACCTATGAGATTCTATTGTTATTATTTATTATTCTGTATGATAGATTTTTTGTATTCTTCTCAGTTCTTAATTTCATCATTTATGATCTATATCTATACAAGGTTTAATTATACTGAAGAAGTTCAAATAAGTTCGCAGGACAAAATGTTAGAATTACTGGAATTTTAGTTGTGGAGATTATTACAAATATAATTTTCACATCTAATTAATCATACTGTTCATCTTAACTTCTGAATGATTAAAATAATGCCCTAAAGCTAAAACAAAAAATAATAGAATTAAAAAGTTTTTTTATTTTTTAAAAGTTTGTTGATTAAATCAACTAGATTTTTGAAAATCTTATAGTTACACATATTGTCTAATTATCAGTATAGGGTTGTTGAGGTTATAAAGTTTTTGCCTGATATCATGAATCGATTGACGTTAGACTACCATTGAAAACTTAGAAGTATTGGACGGCCGTTTCGTCCTATTACGGGGCTCCTCAGCAGTGCGCATCAATGATCCCGCTCATGGGAATCGAATCAAGAGCTTCCAGTCTCGTGAGCGAATGCTTATCCTCTAGACCACTGAACCGGCCGGCATCCAATGGTGTTAGTGTCTAACTTCAACCAATCCACGAAACCGCGCGACTATCTTCCATTAACACCGTTGCATACCGGCTCAGTGGTCTAGAAGTCAAGCGTTCGCGCGCGAAACTAAAAGCTCTTGGTTCGATTTCCACGAGCGGGATCATTGATGCGCACTACTGAGCAGCCCCACAATAGGACGAAACGGCCGTCCAGTACTTCTAAGTTTTCAATGGTAGTTTAACATCATTCGGTTCATAATCTCAATATCGTCTAATTAACTTGAACTAATCAGAGTAATACTACTTAAATGCTTATTGAAAACTCAAATTATATTCAACTATTTTATTGATGATATAATTTGTTGGAAATAAAATAAACCGGGAAATAAAATGACAACATGAAATATTATTATGTAAGTACTCATTTATAATTCATAATCAGTTGAATTTCGTATACACATTTCTATATTTTGATATTTTAGAATTCTGGCATAGTAACTAAATTATAACAGCTTGATATTAAACCAGAAATTTTATATTTTCATGAGTACGAAAGGATGTGTAATTCAGAAGTGATAATGAAACAGTTATTTAATAGTTTTAACTTGGTAATATTTCTTATAATGACGGTTACCTTATTTTGAACACAATCTTTCAACTATATATATGATAACAAAAGTAACTATGTAAATAATATATATTTCTATAAATCTCATAGACTTGGAACAGGTTGGTCTTCTAGAGCTCAATCAGCACAACGTCGTCGAGCTCAACCATTAACAACAGATGAAGAAGAACAAATTTTACGTGTTCTACGACGTAATGAATTATTAGCTGAAAACGAAAAAGCTAGAGTTGAGTAAGTATTTTTATGTTAATTTACGTGTTACGTAACAATACAAAAATACTTGTTAAATATCAATACTGAGGTTCATTGTGATATCATCAAATAAACTGAGTATTGAATGGATAGTTTATGATAGTAAACTATAATAAAAGACTTAATAATTCTGTAGAACAACTGTGAGTGATGATATCAATGCAAGTATAGTAAAAACCAAAGCGGCTTATGCCAACCTAGGCCATCGTTGGCGCCTTCGTGATGTTAGTCTGGCTGTAAAAGGTCGGATATACAACGCGTCGGTGAGAGCGGTTTTGCTCTACGCTTGTGAAACCTGGCCTCTCCGAGTTGAGGACGTTAGAAGACTCTGTGTTCGATCATCGCTGTCTTCGAGGGATTGCTGACATTCAGTGGCAACACCATGTCAGTAATGCAGAGGTTCGACATCGTGTGTTCGGTCACAGAGACGATAATGCAATCGATGTCACCATCTTGAAACACCGACTTCGGTGGCTTGGACATGTTCTACGAATGTCGTCTCAGAGAATTCCACGTCGTGCATTATTTGCCGACTCTGGGACTGGTTGGAAGAAGCGGAGGGATGGCCAGTGCATAACATGGTGTCGTGGTATTAAAGGAAGCTGCAAAGGACTGAATTCTGTTGGTCCTTCACCACTCTCTGGTTGGGGTCTGAGAGATGGTGCTACACAGTGGCTAGAGACGTTATCAGACATGGCTCAGAATAGAAGTCAATGGCGATCCTGCTGTAACCTTCTTTTACTTTCTTCATAAAAAGTGGTTGTTTCTTCCTTAACTGAAAGATTTTTTCCGATTGTACCTCTCCGTTTCCCCAATTATTACTATTATTATTATTATTACACTACCTTACACTAATCTGTTCGTTTTTTTCTCTCTCTTCGAATTCTCATTGTTTTGTGTGGCGCATAAATATTTGGTGCCCTCTTGTACCAATATTTATGTGTTCAAATAAATAAATAAATAAGAACAACTGTGCATGCTATTTTTAACAACGATCAAATCGATATTGAACATTTAAATAAATCTAATGGGTATTTCAACCATAAATAAGGCGATTGGCTGAAGCTTTCCATATATTTCTCAACCTCATTGAGCTCAATAAAAGAGAAGGCCTGACCATCCATCCATCTTCGTTCATTTATCTTAATAACAATATCTAAATAATTAAATGTTCAGTCCGTTAACAGGCAAAAATTCAATTCTACTCTTTTATACTAAGAATTTAACATTTTTTTTACATCCACTAGCATACAAACAGATGAATACAAATATGTCTCATACAGCATTGTTTTGACCGAAGCGTCATGACATTTCAACTGGTGTAAAGTCATCCATCAGTATCGACGTTCAATATGTATTCAATTTCAAGCATTTTCTTATATATTTTCATTTATTTGGGTTTAGTGCAACCAATAAATGTAATTTCCACTGGAGAGTTTATTTCTAGCTCCAACTTCTAAAATATTTGTGTTTTCATCCGGGACGTCAAGATGTAATTCAATGACGTATTTGTAGCAGATAGATTTAGATAAATGTAAATGCTCAAAACGAAATCTTTAGTGCAATTTACGCTCTCATGTAAGATATCCAATCATCAAATGAACGGAAGTGTATGGATAGGGATGGATAACGTCACACTTTACATACTAAGAACTCTTTCGCATTCTTCCAATTTAAATAAATTTATTAGATTATTTATTTATTCTCCGAAGAAGTGACCTAAATTAACAACCACCTAATAAGGAATAAAATACACAGCGATATTCATTTATGAATCTCTATCGCCACACTTCAAGTTTGATTAGTAGAACTAGTTCACCTATACGTATCCTACAATATTCCCATTTGCAGATGTAGGAGAAATTCTAATTTTCATTTGTTTTATCTTCTGATAAACTCTCTCAAAGATTGTTTCATATTCATCTCATCATGTTTTCTATTTTCAGAGCAATGCTCCAGAAACTTGATCGTTTAAAACAAACAGCTGATTCTAGAAAAAATGAAGAATGTGCATTATGTCATAAAGAATTTGGTCATCTAAGTAATTTACCAATAGTTTGTGTAGAATGTGGTCGTTATGTATGTACAACATGTTGTGTAGAATTAGTTATTCCACCATTATATCGACAGCCAATCCCAAAGCGTAATTCATTGCTTAATTTTCAATGGATGTCAAATACATATGGAAGTGGAAATTTATTAAATACATCAAAACATCAAACTTATTTTACAATGGATCAAACTCGACAAAATGGAAATACAACTTTAAATAATTCAAATAATTTAAAAAGATTAACAACTGATACAAGCAAACCACGATTTTTAAATCGTCGAAGTAGTTTAATGGGTACATTGAACTCAGCTGCATTACATAGTCAACAATTATTTGAAAAGGTTAAAGTTAAAGCGAATTCACGTCAAGGAGATAATCATTCATCTGTTTGTAAAATATGTTATGAAGCAAGAGAAGTAAATTTAATTTATTACTCGTTTAAAAGTTTACTCATCAATTACCAGTATAGGGTTGTAGAGATTATTACGTTTTTGATTAAGATCATAAACTAATTGATGTTAGACCATCATTGAAAACCTGGAAGTACTGGACGGCCGTTTCGTTCTATTGCGGGACTCCTCAGCAGTGCACGTCAACGATCCCGCTCGTGGGATTCGAACCCAGGACCTTCAGTCTCGTGCGCGAACGCTTAACCACTAAATCACTGAGTCGGGTAAACGTTCTCGACCGAGACTGAAGGTCCTGGGTTCGAATCCCACGAGCGGGATCGTCGACGTGCACCGCTGAGGATTCTCGCAATGGGACGAAACGGCCGTCTAGTGCTTCCAGGTTTTCCATGGTGGCCTAACATCAATCAGTTCATGACCTCAATCAAAAAACATATATATCAATTGTTGAATATTTTCATGTAAAAATATTGTATCTAACTTATGGATTTTTAAATGTTTGAAATTTTACAAACAAACCCCATTGAAAACGAAAGAAATATTCACTGTACCGTATTCCCGATGTCACAGTCTATACACCGAGCAGTGAAAATCGATTATAATATTACGCACATCTTATACAATTAAACAAGATGATAACCTTAACTATTGAGAAACCATTCAATCAATTGGTAGACTCTTTGGAAAATCGGACATTTTCATTAGACCAATTGTAGAAATAATAGTGAAACAATTCGATTTATTGTAGCAAAACAATGAAGATGAATCAGCGAATGACTATTAAAAGAAGGACTTTATTATAGGCTGTATTGTATAATGAGTCTATATAACCTAGAAAAAACTGTAATTTAAAACTAAGCAGTGTCTTTCAGATTGATTTAGGTCCGAGAAAAATGTTTTTCACAGAAAATAGGCCATTTTTTCAATGAAATATCTATTTTAGATAAATGATTTGTGCCAGTTCTTTCATCTTAGACAGTGTTTATTAACAACTGTATACTGAATCAGATTCAGAAATGTCAAGTCAAAAACTATGGTACTTCCCACCGATTATCTAGTCCAGTAAAACCTAATTGTTTAAAGTTCATAACGAAAACTATCTTCAGAGTGAACTAGTCTCTATAACTCACCTACGAAAATAATAAACGACTGTTTTTCTCAGTAACTAACGCTGATATAAATTTCCAACATTCTAGTGAGAATTAAACCATATTGAGAATTCTATAAGTAAATACTAATGCTATTAGGTAATCATAAATTCATCTCATAAACTGATCACTTCAGTAACACAGTACATATTTATTGTTTGATCACATAGTATTTTTACTTATGTTATCATACAAATACATAACAAGAAACAATAATAATTTGTATTCTGAAAATAATAATTACATAATTCACGCCAGTTTACAGACATGGATCAATTTGATATAAATAGTAACATTAGATGTACAGAACAAACATATGACAGAAGAAAGTTTTAAGTATACTAGTTCAGTAATTGTTTAGGTAGTACATGTATTACAGTGATCCAATGCATCAGCCGGGAATTTTTAATATTTCTTAAATGGACAGCCTGTTGATTTATGAATGGAGTAATTAAGGTCATTTCGTGTACGAGATTGAATTAATGATAATTATCTACAACCAGAGAAATTAAAACGAAAACAGAGGGCACGGAATTACCAAAATATATCAGTCAGGTCTACCAAAATGCGTGTGTCATGTGACACAGTGATACTCTGTCGATGTTATTCAAATTAGTTAAACTTGCTAGGGACGGTGTTAACATAAAGTGACAGCAAGTAGGTGGTTTTACTTAGGGAATGCACTAATAAAGATGGCTAAACATTTGAAGTTCCTATAATAATATAATAATGAGATACACTTACAGGTGCCAGACCATTCAATGCATTTTCAGAGGAGCAGTATGCATCGATGCAGCGAATAAATAAATATACCTTTTATGAAAACGGTTTATTGTATCAATTTTAATTATTGACGATCATTATTATTTTATTAAATGACGAAATATATTTCTTTTAAGATTTGGAAACGTTCTGGTGCATGGTTTTACAAAAGTCTTCCACGTAGTCGAATGACAAGTTGTCCATCTAGTCCATCATCAACACGTGCTAATAATAATTGTCAAATATTTAATGATATAACAGATCTTGTGAAACCACTACAAATTAATACAAATAACGAAAGTCATATTGAACATACTGATAATGAATCAGAACAATGGATACAATTAAAACCTAACCGTAAGTTTTTATTATTATGCAATAAAGTATATTCTCTAGTTAATTTTAGGTGAAATATAAGACAGAACTTAATATATAATCGATGAAGATGTAGTGTCGGTTACTATATTAAGCCCATGTAACTTATTCTGACTTCTGAATAGGCCAATTCAATCATTCTTCTTGAGTCACATTTCAACCTTGTTAATTATTCACTTATTAATTTTGACTGATTTTATGTGAGCGTATATGTGCACACTTCTTATCCTACTCATCACATGTCTGTAACTTTTGTGTAACTATAAGTATGGATTAACTCTTGGTTAAATCGAGTTGGTTCATACGCCTTTTCCATTGCTCGTCATTTTGCTTCGCTCTCTTATCTTCACATCCATCGCTTCGTCTCTCTGATTATCCATCCAAAGCAATGAGTGTACAAAATATACGTATTCATATATACATTCTCGCATTTGACCTATTTAATTCCGTTATTCCCTAACACGGATTAAGTCGATATTTATACATGTGGATATCCAGGATGTATATTTTGATAACACTCATTCATACAAATTAATGACAGTCATATATAGGGCCACTAAAAAGAACTTACATGTAATGATTTAACACCAACGCCTGTAGATAAATCCCTGCTTTTCTTTTTCTTGTTATTATTAGTAATGTCACGTATAAGATATTCCTTACCCATCATACAATATATTCAACAACTTATTAGAGTTTTATCTATCTTCTTTATTAGTGCAGTTTATCCCATCGTATACCTGTTTCTTAGGTACCTTATATAACTCTAAAATACAATAGTATTTTGTTTATTCGAACGTAACTTTATACCAAGCAGTTAGCGTATAGTAAACAATATTATGTTGTCAGATCCTTTTATGCTGATAATATTCTAACAAGGAAGTTTGATAAATAGTCATTAGATTAAATTAGTAAATATTGTTTTAATGTACATCGGGCTGAGATAATCAGCATGCCATAAAATTGATCCAAAAAATACGGTCACCACTAATGATTAGACATAATGGTGATGATTGATACTCGCTGAGTGATTAGCGTAACGATCTTTCTTCCTATGGTAGGTTAGTCATCACCTTAAAGTTGGTTAATAAAAAACTAATCACATATCGCACTCGATCTTTTGTGATAATATCACCCAAGCGAACCTCGGAAATAATTCAGAAAACTTTGTTAGAAAAATCTGTATTTATATTCCTTTTGTAATACACTGAAAACGGTTCATTAAGATTAAGTAATCTCCTATATCCAACAATCTCATTGACTAAAGAGTTATTTTCAAATAATAAAGTGAATTGACTATCTGAGAATAGTCCACATTATTGAGCTTAATACTTGCGTAAAAATGTTTCGTAATAACCTTAGTGGTTTTCATCGATGAATTAGTTATACGTATTTTCCATATTCATTAACTCATATAATTTCGATGTACTGACAGTGTGGTATAACCGATTTCATTTAGATAGTCAGGTCATTTTTGTCTTTTAATACCAAATAGTACATGCTGATGACTTACTCATTTACGCCTGTAACCCTTCGTGGAGGAGCATAGGCCGACCACCAGCATTCTCCATCCAACCCTGTCTTGGACAATCCTTTCCAGTTCTTTCCAGTTACTATTCACTCTTTTCATATCCGCTTCTAATTCCCATCGAAGTATGTTCTTCGACCTTCCTCTTTTCCGTTTCCCTTAAAGATTCCAAGTTAGTGATTGTCTCATGATGCAGTTTGGTGATTTCTATATCTTGCGTAGACAATTGTTTATAAATACTTTTACTTTTTTGATGATAGTTATCGTAATATTTAATAATCAATCGTCTATATCAATAAAAATTATGTACAATACAAAAAGAACAATTGAATGTTGAATGATCCTGACCAACATATATTAGATCGAAAGCACTTGATGGAAATGGGCTCTACATAGCGGATTGTGTATATTGTCTGTTAATTATTTTAAAGGCTTATGAGATTTCTGCGTTGTATACACTATCTTTTAAACGTTTAGTAATCGCACCTGTGAGTATTTTACTTCTCTTCAGATACGACTCAGGGGAATTCGTTCCGCGAATCCTAAATGTGCTATTCTATAGTTCCTCTTATTTCCTTGCTTCCACAAGCACATGTGAATTCGTAAATACTTTCAAGTGTGACATCAGTACGGTAATGATCCACTTTGACTGATTTGAGATATATCTGGTGTTATACACAGAAAATAGCTGAGCTGCAGGATAGCTTCTCTTTAGGTCTGCTTTAATCCTTTTATCGATCCTGCCTGATATCTCTTCATCTGTGAATGTAAGCCGGATGAAGACGAATTTTCTATTAACAGTTGTTTGTCTGATACTTTCTACATTTATTTTTCCGTGCTTCATGATAAATTTCCTTTATTTGATGGAGTTTCGTTCTCTGAGCTGGATGGTTAAGTAATGAAGCTTTTATTGTTCTTCTGAACAACATCATCAGCACGAATTCCAGGTAGAAGTGCAATGTTCAAATTTCTCATCATATGACTCATAGCTTGTCCTGTCGACCTCGATCTTGATTGGTTATTGTTGATCATTAACCTGTCATTGTCCACCTCTTTGTTTTGATTGTGTTTCCCTTTGATTTGATTTTGGTAGTACATTTGTCCATGATTTTTCTGATTGGTTGGTAGATTAGATAGATTTGGATATGCTTGTTATTTAACCTGAGAGCTAAGCTTCTAAAAATTCTCTGATAATTTTACTATCACCTCTGTCCACGATTTCAACATTTTTCCACTTGAAAGCGAGTCCAAAGTTGTCCACATGCATTGATATAAGCGAAGATATATCATGGAGTTTGACCGCTAATTGATGTTCATACAGGGAAAGATGAAGTGGGTGTCTACTTTGTTTGTTATGGTGTTTTCTTAATTGGAACAGTTTATTCTGTAGATGATGTTCTGTTTTTCTTCTTTTGCCATTTTGTCCTTTGGCTTGCATTGGATTATTTGAAGTAATATTGCTACTTCGTGAGCTACACCTATTCCAAATGACTTCAGTAATCTCGTTGCAATTTCTTTCATATATGGTAGTATGATCTGTTTGTTGGTTTCTATATTTCATTTCATTTCTGCCGATGAGATGGGTTGATATTTCTTTATGAAATTGCGCGGGTAACCGTCTTTTTTAAGGATAGTCATCAGTTTTTTTTCATTTTTTCGAACTGTGTGGTGCAGTCTGTTTGCATCACCTTGTCTAAAGTTTCTAAGCACTCGATTTTGTGAGTTCTTGGGTTGTTGCTGCCGAAGTTGAAAATTCGATCTCTGGGGGTCGTCTTTCGGTATACTTGAGTCTCTGTTTTTTTCCTGAATGTGACCTTCGCGGTTGCTCCATAATTCTTAAGTTTTCAGGTCTAAGTAGTAGGATTAATCATTATGTTCACATTCTATGGTGAATTTGATATTAACATGTGCTTCCGTAAACCAGTAAGGTAATTGAGAAGCATGATTTATATTGCTAAACACAAACACAGTGTCAAAGGTCAATTATCTTTGTGTTACCTTTTCCTCTGATCTCTCTTGGTCTTCTCATGTTTCACTGTTATCGAAGGAGGTTTTCCGTCTGTCTTACTACATAAAGAGACTACATGCTTTTGGGATCACTCGTCATTTACTTTAGCAATTTGTCAACTTATGCATATTACCTATTATTCTTTACTGTTTTCCATTATTCTTTCCCGGGCTTTCGAAAAAAGATTTTGTTGTATTTCGGAGTGTTGAAGTCAGTTGGCAAGGTGTGCAGTGAATTTTTCGAGGTCATAATTAATATGGTTGTGGATAGACATCTCAAGTCATGCGAACTCCTGGCATGTGTTATTTTATCAGATACTAACCATCCTCTTCACTCATATCTTTCTCCTTGTATATCTTCTGGTAAAACGAGACGTAAGTACATTAAAATCTATGCACGCAAGCAAAAGTGTAAAAGTTTTATAATACCTTACCTAGCAAATATACTCTGTGACGAACAGGTTGTTACAGTTAACCTAGTCAATAACCTGCATTCTTAAACATGTCTCTAATTTGAAAACTTGTACATTTTCAGGTTTTTTTCAACTTTTTCCTTTCTCTTTTTTGTTGTTGTTATTTTGTATTTTTGTAACAGAAACCTGTTGGAATACCTTGTGTTGGGAACTCTATATTGTATCAAAATATAATATTGAACAAAGCCATTAATACTACTAATAATAAATTCAGTTACATTTTTAAATAGACTGACAAAACTGCATGGTAAATCATAACGTTCATAACACCTAACTACTTGCAGGGATTTTCCTAACCTCAGTGACTCACACTAATACTTTCTCTCCTTACAACATTTCTTTCAAAAATTATGTTACTAAAGATGGTAAATGTTTTGATATCAGTAACAGGGTAAAATGGACTACATGTAAACAATCTAGACTTTAAGATTTCTAAATTTTATATATAACTTTGGTGAAGGTAAAGATTATGAATTGTATTGTGAAATTTTATGCGAATTCGTATTTGTACAATATAACATTAATCATGTATAAGAATAATATTGAGGTTCCTTGAGACATTTCCATAATCTAATTATCATTATATTCTATTAGCCATATAGTAATGTGTGAATATGTTTTATGAATAATTAAACTATTGAATTTTGGGTGGTTAATGGCACCAGGTAAAAAACTGTACTTGACCTAAGTTTTAAATTGATTGGTGTTCGTTAGCAAATAGTATTTGAAATCTAGAGAGAATTCCTGTTGGTTGTGTAATTCAAACCCGTGCTATCCAGCTTTACATTTTAAAACCTCGATTGTGGGAAAGATTTGTAGCTCAGGTAGATGATTTTGATGAAGTTTTGTTCTCTGAGTTGGATGGTTTTGTCGTAGAGCTTTCATCAGGTAGAAGTTTGTCCTGATGATATCGTTCACAAGTGTTACGACTGGTTGTCACTAACTGTTATGGCAGAATCGCTTATCACTTATACTTGAAAAACGAGGAACTAATCCTATTTCTACGACGCGAAAATGAAAACACAAAGACTGGTACAAACTACGACGACGACCCTAGTGGAAAATGCACTCGTTTGATTGATTATACACCCATTTTGATTATTAATTAGAATGTAATCACATGTGTGACAAATACACAGAGTTATAGCAAATAACATTCTACCATGCTAAGTATACTAAGCTGAGCATAGTTCATGTTAATTTGTTACAAGAATTTCGTATCCTGAATAAACACCAGACTCAAACAAATTAATGTTATATCTAATAAAATATCACACTGGAAAACAAACAAACAATGTGGTGTGTGCTACTGATGTCGGCAGATATATGCAGTATGTATCATCAATCGAAAGTGAAGTATATAGAGACATAAATTTAAGGAGATCGAAGAAAAAAGAACGAAAACAAAGAATGATTGATGTGGAAATGAAGGAACAGTGAAGTCTGAGACAATTGAATGACATGAAGTATTTTCTGTATAATTCTCAAATTTTACTAAGATATTCTATAATTTTGTATTAAAATACATTCGATTGTCCCCACCTGTGTTCTTGTTCACTACATTATTACACTGATTAACTATCACAATCGATTAAACATAGGGAAGTAATGTTGAGCAAAAGTTACAATGAGTAAAAGATTGTTATTTTTGCTTTTTAATCCCGTCATATCAAGGAGAACGATAAAGGCTTCACGACCAAACCACTCAGCTCAAAGATTAAACTCCACCAAAACCTCGATATTATTCAGTTACTCGGTGAAATTTTTTTATTGAGAGATATCATAATGAATAGCTAATCTATAACTTAAAAACGTTGTTAAACAAACTGTTTCAACTATTTAAGTATTTAAAAAGCAAAGGTAAAAGAACCAGCTTTAAACAATATTTTAGTCTATTCTTACCATGATAATTTGACGGTTCAAATTCATAAGGATTTATTTATTTCAGTGGTTGAGATCACGAGTCAGTTGAAGCTAGACCACCATGGAAAACCTGGAAGCACTGGACGACCGTTTCATCCTATTGTGCGACCAATAGATCCTGGGTTCAAATCTTGCGAGGCGGGATCGTGAATGAGCACTTCTGAGGAGTCCCATAATAGGACGAAACGGCCGTATAGTGATTTCAGGTTTTTCATAGTGGTCTAGCTCCAATTAACTCATGATCTCAACCATTGAAATTACTAGGATATCCACAAATCTTCTGATTTATTTATTATTTAAAATAAGAAATAATTTAAAAATTCAATGAAATTTATTTTTATAACAGCTTATGGTTTATTTTTTAGGACGACCTTCTAAACCTGAAGGATCAGAAGCTGATAGCTCATCTTTACCGAGTACAAGTAAAGATGCACCACAAAATGAAGGTAAGTTATAGTTTCTATCATACATTTAAATACCGTTACGGATGACAATTTTATCGAATTGTTAAAGTGAAAAGTTCAATTCATTTTGTAAATTGTTTACGTTTGATACATCGTTTTTCATAGACTTATAGCATCAGTGCAAATCTTTTTGTATGTAAAGCATTTTCTTCTTCGTGACCGGAGTATAACGGCAGCTCCCTTGAAGCTAGTCTTTGTTGTCCAATCCACGTCCAATGTGTTTCACTGATTCCAAACAGCTCCAGGTTGTATTTTTTTCATTTCTCCAGCAATTTGGATGACTCTCCAGGTCTCTCACATCGTACGAGCATTCCATTTGCCTAAATTAATGGTTTTTCTGGTTGTCGAAATGGGCGTCAGTCTCGTGACTTCCGAACGAACTCGGCTTTCACCATGAGGCATCATAACTCTTCTAAATGAAGCTTTTCTAACTCTCAGGGCAGAGTTTAAATAGGTTGAGTTATTTTTTTCTGATTAGCGTTTTTATAGTGAGTTAGTTTTCTACAGGAAGTGGTAGCTAACCCAAGAGGAAATGAAATGAAGTTATTAGTCTTAAGATAAAAATAACATATAAGTAAATGAAATAAATTGCATCATACACTGATTGCTAAGCTTTTGAATTAATATTATCTAATGAGTACTTAAATTTAATTATTTCACCTATCTTAAGAAGAAATATAATGACACTATAGTAGCTTAGCTTTGATAACCGTTATTATATAGATCCTGATGGTGTTTAGATTCAGAAGGCAAAAGAAGCGGCGACTACAGTTTATTAGCGGATAGTACAGACATCTAGAGAATTTAGAGAAAAGAAAGGTTAATGTGTGTGTGCGAGCGATTACAGTGGCGAATTTGCAATCAAATCGAATCAAGGCGCAGCTAGACAGAACAAGGGCAATTATTAAGATTTGAGCACATGTATACATGAAAAAGAGAATAATTTATCGGTCGATATTTGAGCGATTAACATTTAAGCTAGAAAAGGATATATGTGTAGGCTGTTACTTATGATCAAGCATACACGATTACACAGATATGATAGTGATCATAATAATACAAAGAAACAGATGAATTGTTATTGTACGAATAACATTGTCTGTTGAATAAGTTAATAAAAAAGCTTAACAAAATCTAATTATAATCACAATTAATCGTAGGAGTGTTGCTATAACATCATTAGGAATATATATTGTTACCGGTCTCTAAACCTATTAGTGGAAGAGAATATACTTTGTTTGAACAACAATAAATATTTGAATACATCATAGAGATCACATATATAGTTATTTAGTCAAATAATCATAAATACATTTAGACGTAACACAGATAAGCATCATTTCAAAGTATCACCCTTTATGTCATCATGCTCAGTCGTGTTCATCAATTGCAATCAGTAGGGAAGCAAATAGTTTTGGTTCACCTATTTGTAAAAAACACCACTACAAGACCAATTAATAGATATGGCTGAATTTCACCTTTGGACCAAGGAATACAGCTAATTCCCGCAGTTGTATGATAACCTTTTGTTTTAAAACTCGTTCGATGCTAAATATTTGCGTCCAGGCAAATTGGTTATTACTCAACAATTACAGGAGCTAAGATTACAAAAACCAGATTAATCGAACCGATACCTTGGATTGTTATCAACAGATTTCCGTTGCGTTTTTTTATGAAATTTAACAATTAGTAGTCGAGATTAGTTAGATAGTATAGTATTCAGAGCCTTAATTCATGTCTCAGAAGACGTGGTATTCTATGTACTCTTCAGAGAATTCTGATAAAGTTATACAACCAGTTCTTATTAAAAACTGATTGAAATTCACTGGTTATCAAGTTACATTGATTGCCTATTAGTTAAATCTACCTGATATGTATTTGTGGTCACTTAATTTGATCCTACATAAAAGTTAAGAAATATTCCAGCTGGATTTAATCATCGTATAGTCCGAAAAATAGTAGGTCGTAACAATAAAACATCTTTTGGTGTACTTCATAATATACTTAATTGAACATTGTTGTCAAGGGTAATGCACAATTAAATTAGATTTTATATAAAATACGAATAAGTTTCCTACTGTTAATAAGTTCATACGTTAAGCATAATTAAAATCTTCATTGGAACATTTAAATGGAAAGGTTCTTTATGTGTCAATTATTTCATTCATTCTTCAAAGTTGAATATTGAAATAATCATGTAAATTATGCAAATTAATTAAGTGATTCATCACATTCTTCGGTAAACAAAACTTACTTACTAAATGATAATGTAATAAACGAGAACTCAGGTGAGAAGACCAATTAACTATTCGGTGCCCAATCAATACAATGGTTTAGCAAAATGTGAAAATCATACATCAAACACATCATTTACATACCTTTGAATTGTCATTTACAAGCTTTATGGTTACTTCATTTCTGTTGCTATCTTGATTGTTTTCACAATTTCATTTCCCTCTTCTCTTCATTTCAAACTTCTCAACTTTTTGCTCGTAGACATTCCATTTCTGATTGTTGTTATATACTACTTATATCTGCAAACATCAGTAGCATACATCGCAATAATAATAACAGTTGTCATCTACGGTTACTCTTTATGTATTTCATATTGATGCATAGTGATTACTATTCCAGTGAATTATGTAGATAATCTTCTTTAATTATAGTGTTAAATACAATTTTTTTTTATTTCAGCATGTAAAAATAATGGTTGGATCAGTCATTTGATGATTCATTGAGATAAATATTGTCAATTCATTTTATTTGTGTATGAGCTGTGATACTGCCCGGGTGCCCAAACCAAAGCGGGTGGTTTTCTTAGGGGGCCACACCCCGAGCCTTTGACCTAAAGGTCTGATCCACAAGGCAGTGGAGCATTGTGGGGAGATGCAGTCCCATGGTAGCCGGTGACCGACCATTGATCCAAACACCATTTGTTCCTTCAGGATACTGGAACCCATGTGCACCATTGGTTTGGATTCAGGGGTTCCCAACTCCCCTAGGTGGACTCACCGTGTCCACCGGCCAGGTTAAAGTACCGAGCGTTCGCTTTTCGTCCTCTCAATTTCGTAAACAACAGTAGTGCCACGAGAAGGCAGTGAGTAGGACTTCCCCGGCAGAGGCTGTATACGCATGGCCGTGTGAGAGCATTTCTAAAGGGAGGGCGGGCCCTCTCTACTCCCGACCGTACCAGGGCATATGATAGTAGGAATCTGAGAGAATGTTTCTCGTTATTCGAAAGAACAGTTTGATAGAAATCAGGCATTGAGTATTTAGCAAAACTTATTTTTTTAAATAATCTCGAAGTTTGAAATTTAAATTATTCTAATGTTCCTTCCAATAAACTGGTCTAGACTTCTACAAGGTAATGATTAAAATCAAAATTATCAAAGAATGCATAATGCTTAGAAAACAAATCTACAGTAAGAGCTTCTCAGGTCAGATTTAAAAGTCATTAATCTTTGAAGTAAAGATCTACATCTCATTATATTTATTAGGCTTACAGGGATAGATTTTTAATTTTGTGATTTGAAATGCAATATAAAATCATTAGATAAACTTCTGGAAATGTTTTCTAGAGTTCTAGCAGTATAATTTTGAGAGAAGAAACGAACGCCTTTGATGAATTAGTCAACGATCTATGTATCATCTGTAGCATAAAATTTATGAACTTTATCCAAGGTTTGTAATGTATAATTTTCATTTAGCCCACTAAATGATGCTTTCTGATGAATCCTGATTTCGAATTTTGGTTCTTAGCCAAATTTTCATAGCTTGAAAGTTGATCCATTCTTGTAATTGTTTTTTCAACAATTCATATTCATGATGGGAAACTGGTTGATTCGAAATTTTTTAAATCACTAGTATATCCCCACATTATCAAAAAATTACTGTGTAACATAACTATATTCAATCTAGTATTATATAGTTTGACAGTATTTACTATCATCATCGTCTGTTAAATCTTGACTATCATAGAACTACGTTTAAACGTTAAAAATCCACCCTCTAATGGGGAATACAGGACTTTTGGATAACCTTATATTCCATACAGAAGTCAAAAATAAAAAAATTTAAAAAAAGTTTCCATCGTAACATTCGATGACTTTGGGTCTCATAACAAGGCAAAATAAAGGCGATGACAACCAATCAACTGACAGTAAATGTTATTGTAGAAATATGAATTAGGAAAATGTCATCGAGATTATCCTTTCAAAGCAAGCACTAACATGTAATAACAAAATAATAAGATAATCTGAACTATTCTTATCATTAACATCATGTGGATTTTGACTGAACAAATACACTGAAAAAAAACTATAGAGAAAGGTAAGCACTTCAGTAAACAATAGTATTAAACTTACAGGTTTAAAGCTGGCTGTGAGTAGAGGTTGTTTAACTATAATAAACCGGGTAATTGATGAAGATTACAAACAATTCAGTTAAATTACGACACTCTATATGATCGATTTGTTTATTCATAGATAATGAACAAATTAATTTATCCTAAGTATTGTCTTCAGAAACGAAGCTATCAAACATGACGACTATAAACACATAAACAAAATATGTACCTTTAAATGATGACCTAATGGTTTAGAGGTTAAAGATTCTCGAGCAAAACCGAAAAGTTTGGGTTCAATTGCTGGATGTAAGTTCGTTATTGTTCATTTCTAGAAAGTTCAGTTCTGGGACCAAACAACCGTCCAGTGCTTTCAAGTTTTCAATGGTAGTCTAAGATCACTTAGCAATTAAACTCCAAATAAAATCAACATACAATTTAGAAATAAGTTTTTGTTACAGTGAAAAAATGTTTACACTAGTATGTGCCACAAAATAATAGGATGAAAGTAATTGTAAATGCTTTGTTACTGACTGTTATATCCTAGTGAATATTAAATTATAGGTAACTCCTGCTAAATATTTACGGGCAAATATTATACATATAATCTTATTGTATAACTATTGTGGAACTAGATTATGTATATTCATGTTCCTCTTATTATAAGCTTTATTTTGGCCTATAGACTATTATTATACAATTTACTCTTCTTAACTTTTACGCAGTTTATCAATTACTGTCTCTCACAATCACAGCCACTTTCTTGCCAGATCTTGTCTTACTTACTTACTTACTTACTTACACCTGTTACTCCTAATGGAACATAGGCCGCCGACCAGCATTCTCCTGCCCACTCTGTCCTGGGCCTTCCTTTCCAGTTCTATCCAATTGTTGTTCATTCTTCTCATGTCTGTCTCCATTTCCCGGCGTAATGTGTCCCTTGGTCTTCCTCTTTTCCTTTGGCCTTCAAGACTCTGAGTGCGGACTTGTCTTGTAACGCAGTTAGATGCCTTCCTCATTGTGTGTCCTATCCCCTTCCAGCGCTTCTTCCTGATTTCTTCCTCCACTGGGATCTGGTTTGTTCTCTCCAACAGTAGGTTGTTGCTAATAGTGTCCGGCCAACGGATCAGGAGTACTTTGCGTAGACAACTGTTAATAAAAACTTGTATCTTTGGGTTGATGGCTTCTTTAGTTCTCCAAGTTTCCACCCCATACGGTAGAACTTTCTTGACATTTGTGTTGAAAATTCTGACTTTGGTGTTGTTTGAGAATCAGAGTTCCAGATGTTTTCCAGTTGTAGGTATGCTACCCTTGCTTTGCTGATCCACGCCTTCACATCTGCATCGGATATACCGTGTTCATCAATGATGTTGCCTAGATATGTAAATATTTTTACATCTTCCAAATCTTCTCCATCAAGTTTGATTCGATTGATGTATGCTGTGTTGTATCAGAGAATCTTGACTTTCCCTTTGTGTATGTTGAGACCTATTACTTCTGAGGCTACTGTTACACTGGTCGCCTTCTCCTGCATTTGTTGTTGGGTGTGCGATAGAAGAACCAGATCGGCTAGATCTTGTACAAATGTTATTTTCTATTTTATGTTGTGGTGTGATCTGTTTTATTTGTATATAAACTCACTATGTTTGAAATACATGATTCATATCGCAGAGGCTAAGATTGGTGTTCTGGACTCAACAGGCAGGGCTAGGCAAGAAAAAGGACCAATAAGGATGTCAGGCTGCTCATATCGGTCAATACGTCATTGGTTTGGCACAGTGCGAAGATCTTATAAGTCATATTATGATTGGTTAATAGGTCACTTAGTATTTAACGTACATCAAAAGTCACAACACTGACAACGGAGAATATTGTGTAAACTTCACTGTCATTATGTAACACTGTCTTTACTTTTCAAATCAAATCAAATCGTTTAAAAAGATAAATTTCAAAAAGTGGTGCTAAATTAACAACTTTGCAAATATATTTCATCAGATACCCATTAAAAAGTGTTACTTTTACAACCGGAAGTAGTAATTAATATTTTAATTCCTTGATAAGTCACATGGGCAAACTGAAATATTTTATATAAGATAAAATAATAAATCCATATAAATTTACTTATTTAATGGTTGAAGACAATGGACAAGAAGCATAGGCATAGGTTTTGTGCTAGTCGGGACTTGTCAATAAGATATACCTGTAAACTTGAGGAAACTGGTGTTTCCTGTGATATTACAACTAGTGTTACCCAGCTTCACAGTATAAGATGTTATCACTGAGCTATTCAGTTTGCAATTAACCTCCCGTAGGATTATGATATTAACCACTAACATGAAACCAAGTTCTGAAGTTTCTTGTTGACTAACTCCATCCATCTAAAGTCTCAACATAGTGTATTTCACTTAGGTTACCTACAACATAATTTGTAGCTTTCTAGAAGTAACGAGAGAACCAGATACATGAAAATGGTTACTACCCAATCACTAATCAGTTGTAAATACAAAGTGACTATAACTAGTTTTTATATAATTTATTCTAGTTATAAGTTTTGAAAAGACATATATTGATGAATGCTGTTGAAAGTGTACTGTCAGATTAATCAACTTTGAGAACAAAACTAGTGAGTTTTGGCATAGAGTTTAAGAATCAGTCAGTTGTTAGAACATTTATGTAGGTGGTTTTATTCCCTATATTTATCTATCTTGGTTTTATAAACAGACAGAAAGTCTCACAGCTGCTTAAAATTTAGTTATTCAGTCCACCTTAATGTTACAAAAACACGTTCGATCATATAAAAATTCATAAATATTCAACATATCTTGTCATTAAGTTTTGTCCTTAATTCAAATGTACTCGAACAAATTTTATTGTAAAATACTGAATGTTGCTGAATGAAAATGATGTTTTTTCTTACCATAGTTACGTCAAGTACGAAAACACGTGGAATATCTAAGGGATTTCCGAAATCTCCGGAACATCCTTCATATACTCCACCGGATCAAAGTACTGTTGATGTACCCAAATCAAACTCACCAACATATACGAATGTGCCTGCAACTACGAATAGTCAAGATATAACTCATATCTCGCCGGCCTCATGTCTTTTATCCGATTCACTAAATACTAGTTCATTATGGAGACCACAGTCACCTGTTTCAGCACAATCATTTCATCCGTCATTTGTATCTAATAAAAGTGTTAATCATTCGACAGCCTCTGCATTAGCTTCTTCATTTACAAATGCCAATTCTACACAGAAAGTTGCAAGTTTAACAGGTGAAAAAGAACCATCCAATCTTCTTTCACCATCATCGGGTGCCACGTCTACAGTACGACGTTCAACTGTATCTTCAAGTGAAGAAGGTAATTTTATAATCATACTTTTTCTAGATGTTTTGAAGAAGAAAATGTCTCATTTTATGTAAAACCATTTACAGAGGTAACATTCAACTAAAATATATTTTAACAAGTTACATCAACTTGTAATGCTAAAGTAAGTCCGAGGTAAATGGAGAAAATTCAGATGCCACAAGCGTCTACTAACTTCGAACGAATATTAATAAATTTACGTTGATTAGATGATGTATGTTTTTAGCTTATTAAATTAATTACGTAATAAAATTAGTGTGAAAAACGATGGTTGATATTTGAAATATTCAAGCGTTTAGACGTTCTTTCTATCAAAATCTGAAACATTTCGTGCATACGTCTTTAATGATTTCTAATTGTAATAATACTACTGACTAGACTTTAAACTTCGAAGATGTCTATACTGAAGTTCTACGTTGTTGCTAACTGACTAACTAGCCCCTAAATGCCCTGGTATGGCCGAGAGTAGGGTGGGCCCGCCCTCCCTCTCAAAATGCTCTCACAAGGCCACGCATATACAACCTCTGCCAGGGAAGTCATACTCACTGCCTTCTCGTGCCACTACTGTTGTTTACGAAAATGAGAGGACGAAAAGCGAATGCCCGGCGCTTGAACCGGATCCCAAACCAATGGTGCACATGGGTTCCAGTATCCTGAAGGAACAAATGGCGTATAAACCAATCGTTGGTCACCGGCTACTATGGGAGTGCATCTCCCCACAATACTCCACTGCCTTGTGGATCAGACCCTTAGGTCAAAGGTTCGGGGTGTGGTCCCCTAAGAAAACCACTTGCTTTGGTTTGGGCACCCGGGCAGTATCACAGCCCACACACACAAATATGGTGTGGCGCATATATATACTTGGTGCCCTCTTGTGTTGAAATAAAATTTTAAAAAAAGCTTCTACTTCACATACATCATATATATCTATAGAAATAGAGGAGAAAATGATTACTTTACTCTCTCAGCAATGACAGGATTTGAATGAAGATTGAAATCTATAAATACATAATCCAAGTATGATAATAATGTAAATAATAATATTTACTGAACAAACTAAACTAGTCGGTCAAGTTGAATTAAAAACGTATCGTTGACCCTATTTCGAAGCTTTTCATCTGGTATGTAAATTTACGAGTAAATAAATGATTTATGAGTGTTTTTATCTTCCCACTGATATTAAATACTGCAATTGGTCAGTCTCTTTTTGAGATGTGTGCATTCTTAGAAGATTTCCAAGATCTTGCCATGAATTCACAAGTTTTTCATAAAGTGATTGATTTCAAAACAAGATACAAACACTTACACACTAAATTCATTCACGTTACACAAGCAATTACTAACTGGATCTAATAGTTCAGTGAGCAACACTTTAGGGCTTTGAATAGAAAAGTATACAGTTTGATTTCCAGTGTAAACATCAACACTAAGATCTAGGTACATCTAAATAACAAGTCCAGATAAGACGAAACACAAGTCCTGGATTCTACTACTAGACACTATTCAACTTTACTGAAATAAATGATTAACATACTTTAGTAAATGAAATTAATATAAAAGTTTGTAATGAAATAAGAAAGAAATCAGAAGAGTAACATTTCACAATGTAGTTCATTTGGACGTTTATTTATTTGTGGAGATTGATCCAAGTCAAGTAAGAAAGAATAATTCATAAGCAAAAATGATAATGATAAGAATAAGTGTTTTCGTGAGTTTAATAATCAGATAGTCGGTGAATTTTCTATTAACTCAAGTATATAATGCTTTAATTCATAACATTGCCAGTCATTAAAAGTTTAAGCTACGCATCACTGATAAGCAACTAACGATAGAATAATAAATATAATTTATCTCCCATTAAGTCGTGACTAATGTCATGTTTGTCTAGTCCTTTATTATTGGTCGAATTCTATCGATCAACTTGTAATTTGTTCATTAGTCCAAATGATTTGACATTACATGCACTGTGTTCAGATGTTAGGCAATTGGAGATAGTCGGTAGGACATCATGGATTTATTTTTTATGCTATTCGACACTCATTAATAAGGTGTATCCATAACTTTGAGCAAACTGACATTCCGTCTAGGATTTCAATAGTCTAGGATGTTACTATTCAACTATAAATGCCTTTTATCTCCTAAATCATTGTTCACGACTATTAATGCAACCAAAAGCATAAAGAAGTGTAATTTTTAAAAACATATCGTGAATAAGCCATACATAAATATAATGAAATTCTCATATACAATTGAGTAACTATTTTTTCCCGTCAAAACTAATAACATTTTTTTTATGTTTATCTCATTCACTCACCATTAGCTCCATTCGGTGTGCTCTACTTTACATTATATCATGATACATTGAATAAACAACTTCATGTAGCTATTCACAAAGCTAAAGTAGGTTGTTTGTTATAGATTAAATTTCATATATATTTTATAATTACGTATGTTGTATGTCGTTGGTTGAATTTTTTTCACAAAAGCTATTGTGAATTACATGAGAAGACAGATAGTTTTACAGTATATGGATTCAGTTAAACACGAAATTATATTTTCTAAAGAATCACATACTTTGAAAGGACACAACATCTTCAATGAAACCTTTATGTATTAAGCTATTATTTCTCATCTGACGGGCAACTGGATGATGAAGACCTGGACATCTTAGGGAAAATACGAAATACAATGAACAGCTCAGGACCAATTAGACGATTTGGACTTCGCAGATGACCTGGCCCTCCTATCCCATACACAAGAAAAATACAGATAAAGACAACCACTGTAGCTGCAGCCTCTGCATCAATAAGCCTTAACATACACAAGGGGAAAACCAAGGTCCTTAAATATAACACGGCGAACATCAAACCAATCACACTTGATGGTGAAACTCTGGAAGATGTGAAATCCTTCACGTACCTGGGAAGCATCATTATTCAGTTATAAATTGATTCAATTATTATTATTTACAGGATTTTACCAACTGAGTAATTATTATAGGATACAAAATCCAAGCCAAATAGTCAAGGTAAAGAAAAATGGATTGATAATCAAATAAGTAATTACAACTGGAAATACATTGAAAGCCAATGGATAGACTTCGCTTCAAGTTATTTAATAAAACGAAAGTACATTGGATTTCAATGAATGAAAATGATCTTGGATCATTATATGAAATTAAGATTGATTTTTTAGGGGATGCGTGATACACAGTATACATATTGTCCGACAATCTGGTTCAAGCCTATTCAAGGAAATAATCAAAATTAAAATCGTCAGTATTGGGTTTTGTGAAGATTGCAAAATGTTCACAAACCACCACTGAATACCTAGGAGTATTGGATGTACACTACTAAGGAGTCCAGTGCTTCAAGTGTTTTAATGGTGGTTTTGATTTAAACTCTATAGAAGTTAGTCATCAAAAATAGATATGTTCGAGTAATATCCTGTTCTGTTCAGTTATATTCAAATGTGGATTTTATTAACTGTAAGGATTTGAGTCATTTGATGATAAATGAATCCAAGATATGCTATAAAAAGTTGTGTGTGCGGCTTTTATTCATCATGGAACGAGAACCATGTTCAAGTAAATGAGGTATGGCGACTTGGACCGATGCACATATGTGCCTGGTTCTACTTTGTAGCTGACTGACTGACGTTTGAAATTAAAAAATAAGTTATATCACTAACGAGTTTTATAGAAATTGTAAAATTTTCATAGTTTAAATTACGGACTAATTTCATTTGGACAGTCATTAGAAACCAGAAAGCACTGAACAGTTGTACAATACCAACGATCTTAGAATCGATATAACACGATGAGATAGATACAAGTTGCTTAGTCTCATACTAAGGCAGAACAGCTATCCAATACTTCATTTGTGATCTAAACTATAAAAAAATGGCAATTAGTATATTCGTACACATTTTCTGAAATTGTTTTTATGGGTGGAGCTACATTAATATGCTTTCTATAACTAGTTCTGACTATTAATGATTGGGGAACTGGTAGTGAATTTGCATGTAATCCCATAAGGGAAACAAAACAAGATGTGTTGATTAAAAAATAAAAGAAACAGAGTGAGAAACAGCGAAATTCCGTCTACAAAATTAAATATTGTAATTTTAATGACGTATCCGTAGTGAAAACACACTGAATGTAACGATGCTTAAACATGAACAGTGCTTAAAACATAGTCCCAAAATCTCAGAAGACCACACGGAATTGCAGAATACATCATCAATACTATTATATCAATTTAAAACAGGAAACACAACAAATTTTAGATAAATTGGAAAAGGCTCATTGTCCAATAAATAAAATCTAACCAGAGAAGCCTTACACAGTTAGTTATATAATATACCTTTTTTGGCAAATGTGATTTTACATTGGTTTTCAGGATAACCAGACACCATCCAGACTTTCACGTGATAACCCGATCAGTACAGCTCAATCTCGTTTAACAGTAGATCCAGACACCACAAAGGCTTAAAATTTGTAGCCCAAATAGTACGGCTTAATCCCGTTTCCAGGAGAACCAGACACCATTCAGGCTTAAACTTCATAACCCGAGCAGAACAACTCAACCCCGCTTCATAGGAGAACCAGACACCATGTAGGCTTTAACGCTACAATCTGAATGGTACATCTCAATCCTATGGCGCGACCACATAGGTACCAAGCACCTTGGTGGACCAGAGAAGCATTACAAATATGGACAAATAATGTCAGTAGACAGGATAATGTGTTATTAGATGTAATTTTGGAGTTATTAACTATTAAAGAATGATAGTTGTATCAAATAACTATTTCTTACTCATCATCATCATCATCATCATCATCATCATCATCATCATCATCATCATCATCATCATCATCATCATCATCATCATCATCATCATCATCATCATCATCATCATCATCATCATCATCATCATCATCATCATCATCATCATCATCATCATCATCATCATCATCATCATCATCATCATCATCATCATCATCATCATCATCATCATCATCATCATCATCATCATCATCATCATCATCATCATCATCATCATCATCATCATCATCATCATCATCATCATCATCATCTCATCATCATCATCATCATCATCATCATCATCATCATCATCATCATCATCATCATCATCATCATCATCATCATCATCATCATCATCATCATCATCATCATCATCATCATCATCATCAGCATCATCATCATCATCATCATCATCATCATCATCATCATCATCATCATCACATCATCATCATCATCATCATCATCATCATCATCATCATCATCATCATCATCATCATCATCATCATCATCATCATCATCATCATCATCATCATCATCATCATCATCATCATCATCATCATCATCATCATCATCATCATCATCATCATCATCATCATCATCATCATCATCATCATCATCATCATCATCATCATCATCATCATCATCTCATCATCATCATCATCATCATCATCATCATCATCATCATCACATCATCATCATCATCATCATCATCATCATCATCATCATCATCATCATCATCATCATCATCATCATCATCTCATCATCATCATCATCATCATCATCATCATCATCATCATCATCATCATCATCATCATCATCATCATCTCATCATCATCATCATCATCATCATCATCATCATCATCATCATCATCACATCATCATCATCACATCATCATCATCATCATCATCACATCATCATCATCATCATCATCATCACATCATCATCATCATCATCATCACATCATCATCATCATCATCATCATCATCATCATCATCATCATCATCATCATCATCACATCATCATCATCATCATCATCATCATCATCACATCATCATCATCATCAACAACAACAACAATAATATACATTCGACTGTTTAGGTAGTTATTACAATTCGTTTTTCTAATACATCTGTCTGAAATTTCCAACATGTAAACAGACAATTTTAACCTAATTTTTCACACAATAGATACTTTAGTAAAAACTCATTGTATTTATAATAACATTGAAGTTTAGAATAATCTAGTCATAGGCTTAGGCCATATAAAACTACCAAAGTAAGTTATAGATAATATATGCATGAGAATATATCATTGCATGCAACAATTTTGATATGTTACGTAGTAGGTAATTAATGTTCACATTAATAAAGTCAAATTTCAATGGTTAAGATCATGAGTCAGTTGAAGCTATGGAAACCCTGGAAGCACTGGACGGTCGTTTCGTCCTATTGTAGGACTCCTCAACAGTGCGCATCCCCCGCGAGATTCGAATTATTATGTGAATATAATTCAATCATTGTTTATTGGAAAAGGAAGTGTTTTTGACTTCATTGATATGTGATAATTGTAATTCGTTTATTGAAGAAGCTTGTAAAAAATTGTCTAGTAAAACATTGTAACTATATTAATTTCATTTGTCCAAATCATAATAAATATATAATCTATATCAATTCTATTCCATTTTGATTTATATTATTTTAGAATTTAATTGCAATGGATGCAAATGGTTTATCTGATCCTTATGTTGTATGTCAATTATTACCAACAAGTCATAATAGTACAACACCACGTACATCAACACGACCACAATGTTTAAATCCAGTTTGGAATGAAGCATTAACTTTTGAACCATTTGATGGAAAAAATATTCAATTAAAAACATTAAGGTGGGATTGTATGTGTCTGTGTGTGTGTGTACTTTTCTTTAATCAGTATAGGGTTGTGGAGATTTTAATGAGTTTTTGATTGAGTTCATGAATAGATTGATGTTAGACCACCATTGAAAACTTAGAAGCATTGGATGGTTGTTTCGTTTTATTGTTTCCGTTACATAGATTATAACAGGCATTTATTTATAGTTTTTAAGTAAACATTATTAATACTCAAGAACTGTATAGTATTTACTGTTCAGTTAGGAACATATCCACTTGTATATTCATTATTAGATAGTTATAAGAAGTACTGTATTTAGATTACATGATCTTTAACTCTTATCAATATGGTGTATCTAAAATATTTAAGAAAACTATTTATATCTTTAAGGGTTTATATTAACATTGTTCACTGCTACTTAAGAGTATCAATGGATTAAACCATTCGGAAAACTAATTATCATACGAAGCTCTTAAAAAAAAACCTTCCCTATTCAGAATAAATTAGTTTTAGTTGAAAATACACATTAATTATCATTATTGCTCTCGATGGATTTTATTGAACCATTACTATATATTTAAAGTTTGATTACTACTACGACTACTACTACCACTACTACTACTACTACTACTACTACTACTACTACTACTACGACTACTACTACTTCTACTACTACGACTACTACTACTACTACTACTACTACTACTGCTAAATATTAAACCAACTTCTATCCGGTCTACTCGATAATATCTTGATAGAATAGCTTCAACACTAAAAATATAATCAAATAAATTGTTTTTTTTAAAGACCCATCAACTACGATGTATTCAAAGAACGTGTACAAAACAATCTGTGTCTTTTACAATAAACTATTTAAGTAGTATTAACATACTGTAGATTAAACAGAATTTTCGTTGATAAATTACTAACTCTTTAAGATTTAAAAATACACACATAATCATCAAATAAAGTTATTTATCATTTGACTATAAATAATTGTTGTCATATATTACATCCAGATTAAACATTGTAATTCGTAGCTCCTTAAACTATAATTAAGCAACTATAAGGCAGCCTCTGATATTCTCTAATTCACTTGTTCATATCAATCCATGATGAAAATTACTTAGAAATTCATCATGACTCGAAAAATAGAATACATTCGGATATCTCTCTTGTTCAAACAATAACATAGACTGTTAGTATACATCAATGGGAACATTCAAGTAAACAATACCAACTAAATTTAAAATTCACCCCATTGCACAAACTAGTGGCTATGAAGGCTCAATAGCTAAGTGGATAACGCGATGGTTTTTGAAGTGAACGGTACTTAATTTAAGTCCCAGCGTAAACATCAGCTCTGAAATACAGGTACACCCAGGTGACGAGTCCCAACTGGGGCGAAACGCGCGTCCTGAATTCCACTGCTAACCACTATCCATCTTTGCTTACAATCCTTGTGAATTAAGGCAATATCAAGGCAATCCACACAGGGTGTTCATACGCCAGTAAGAGACAGATCAGCTGCAGTTCTAAACATCAAACAGACAATATCAAATGAACTTTTAATATACAGTTAGTGACTATGAAATAATCGGTCAATAGTGTTTCTTGTTAACATTTATTTCTCCACCATATCACCAATTTTGGTGTACGCTACTGATGTCGACAGATATAAGTAGCATGTATCATCCATCGAGAGTGAAATACCTGGAAGCAGAAGGTTAAGAAAATCAAAGAAAAGAAAACGACAACAAACAATAATTGATGTGGAAATAAAAGAACAATGAAGTCTGTGATAAATGATTGATATTTTACAAATGAATTATTTATTGTAACGTTCTCAGATTTTACTCTAAAATGATCACTAATTTTGTATTCAAACACATTTGATTGTGAAGAATACAAAGAGGCGGATAATGACAAACAAATAATGGATGTGGAAATAAGGTTAACAATAACACAGATAGAATAAAATAAATAATGATAATAATAAAATTTAAAATAAAATAAAAAATTGTTAGTTAAGTTATAACTGGCCATGGAAGGGATAGAGGGGTCACGTATTTCTTCTGTACACATAGATTGGGGTTATATGTACGAATTCCAATGGCTTCAGCTATATATAGGAGACGGGAACGGACTCCGTCGGGAAATGATGGAGGTATACGATAGATAACTCGAAATGATTTCGATTTCTCTACTGCATGACCGCTATCAATAAGATGTGCTAGTATAGAACTGCAAATAATTTTTCTCTGACCCTTTATGTACCAAGTTGGTAGATGTTCACTCATTCGTTGGTTAAGTTGCCTGGTAGTACGCCCTATATAGCTATCTCCACAAGAGCAGCTGAATTTGTAAATGCACATGGAAGAGGCCAACTCAGGTAACTTATCCTTCGTTTGAGTAGACATCGCTGGTCGACAAGAGGTCAACGCAAGATTGGCTGCGTAGAATGTCTTGGTGATTACTTTGGTTAACCTATATTTCAGAGTGTCACTAGCCATATCCCCGTTGAATTGCACTTTCATGTATAAAGGTTTCTTACGAACAGTCGAAATCTCCGACTTCTTTATTATATCCTGCATGTATTTCTTGATGAACGCGCTGGGGTAGCCGATCTCGGTCAGTGGGTTCTTGAGAAATTCAAGCTCCTGACTTAGAGTGTCTACTGTACAGATCTTTTTTGCTCTGCTCGTGAGACATCTGACCAAATTCCTCTTGTACCGGATGGGTGTGAAACTGCAGAAGTGAGTATATTGGCATGAAGAGGGGTTTCTTCTATACACACTTCTACTTAATGTGCCGTCACTTCGTCTGCTTAGCGTGACGTCAAGGAAGCTCGGCTTCTTATCATGCTCGCTTTCACCAGTGAAGGTGATCGCTGGGTGAACACTGTTGAATTGGTCTAGGAGTTCCTCTTTACTAGTGTTTTGGTCTACGATAATGAATGTGTCGTCAATGTATCGGCAATATAAATCCAGTTTCTTAATAGTCTCATTGAGAGGTCCGTTTTCTAGCTTTGCTAGGAATAGGTCAGCTAAAATCGGGCCTAGAGGCGAGCCCATGGCTATCCCGTCTATTTGTCTATAGTAAGTATTGTTGAAGACAAAATGTACATTCAGAGTGCATCTTAGGAGCAGTTCCCTTAGGCTATCGTTAGGCAGGCCAATGTTGATTTGTTTCTTTGATAATTGCTTGCATATAAAATCAATAGTCTCTATAAGTGGTAAGTTGGTGAACAAAGATTCTACATCCAATGAGATCATATTTTTCATACTGACATTAATATTTTCTACTTTGGAGGTGAAGTTGAAGACATCTTTTACACTATTTCTAACAACTGATTTGTGTAAAGGTTCTAGGATTCGTACTAGCCACTTTGCGATTTTGTGGTAAGGAGAATTGTACATATCTAGAACTGGGCGTAGAGGAAGACCCGATTTATGTACTTTAGGCAAACCATACAATCGTGGTGTAAATGATCCAGTCGGCTTAATTGAATCGTAAATCTCAGTCGTAATTATTCCCTTTTTCGTTAGATCTTTAAGGAAATTGACCAATTGTCTTTCTACTTTATTATTGATGTCACAATTACTAGTAATTTTCTGAAATTTGCTAGAATCGCTAAGCATTGTTTCCATTTTTCCCATGTAATCATTTTTGTTCATGAGAACTATACCTCTTCCTTTATCTGGTTTGGTTATGGTCAGGGTTTCATCTTTTCTTAGTTTCATTAAAGAGTCACGGTGCTGCTTGGTTAGTAGGTGATTTATGATACCCTTACTATTCTTGTATTGTTGGCAGCTATCAACTAGTGTGGTTTTAAACCGAGCAAGGTCATCCAATGAGGTAGGAATCAAGTCAGTTGTTTGTGAAAATAAATTCTCAAATTGTACATCAGTATCTAATTGGTTGATTCTACGTCTACTATCACAGAATTTAGGTCCCAGAGATAAAGCTTCTAGCTGTACTACATCTAGTTCAATATTGGAAAAATTATGTACGTACCGTTTCGTGTCGAAGGGAAACTCCTTTTCTGGCTTGTGGTTTTCCAAAGTTTTCATTAATTTCGTCAACGTTTTCTCAGATCTGTTCTTGGAAATTTTTCCCACATAATCCATGAACATTGACTGAAGCTCTGAAGGAAGGTTTTTTAACGGAATATTGTCTCTGAAGAAGATTCCTTTCGAAGTCGCAGATATTCATTTTCAAAGTATCAATTTGATTCGACGCATGTCTTTCACAATGGGAATCTTTAATATTCTAAAATCGCGTGGGGACCCTGTTGCATTTATGACACTCAATGAGTTTCTGAAGTTTAATGCACGTCTCACAGAAGCGAAAACGAGCTTAGAATTTGCTATTAATTGTATACAATCTAATAGATATCCTAAAATATATTGGAAGTCTTTACGTCGTAACCGAATCTATCCTAATGCAAAACACTTGAAAGACATGCGTCGAATCAAATTGATACTTTGAAAATGAATATCTGCGACTTCGAAAGGAATCTTCTTCAGAGACAATATTCCGTTAAAAAACCTTCCTTCAGAGCTTCAGTCAATGTTCATGGATTATGTGGGAAAAATTTCCAAGAACAGATCTGAGAAAACGTTGACGAAATTAATGAAAACTTTGGAAAACCACAAGCCAGAAAAGGAGTTTCCCTTCGACACGAAACGGTACGTACATAATTTTTCCAATATTGAACTAGATGTAGTACAGCTAGAAGCTTTATCTCTGGGACCTAAATTCTGTGATAGTAGACGTAGAATCAACCAATTAGATACTGATGTACAATTTGAGAATTTATTTTCACAAACAACTGACTTGATTCCTACCTCATTGGATGACCTTGCTCGGTTTAAAACCACACTAGTTGATAGCTGCCAACAATACAAGAATAGTAAGGGTATCATAAATCACCTACTAACCAAGCAGCACCGTGACTCTTTAATGAAACTAAGAAAAGATGAAACCCTGACCATAACCAAACCAGATAAAG